GAAACAAAAGAGTGCGGTGTGGGGGGGGGAGGGGGGGGGGGGGGAGGGGGGGGGGGGGGGGGGGGGGGGGGGGGGGGGTCGTGTTCAACCTTTGAAAATACAAACTCTGACACCGTTTTTGAAGCTCCAAGCCTTCATCAGGGAGTCAAACACACGACAGAGTGTCGGAGAGTCGTAGTGTGAGCTGTGAGCTCTTACACAATGTTGGCCAAGTTCAGCGTCTTCTCTGGTTCCTCTGGGTACATTGGGTGAGAGGCTTCTCTGGAGGAGACGCAGCCCAGAGTCCTGCCCAGGGCTCGACCCAGCTTGGTCGCTGGCGACTTCTGCACAGGAAAACAAACGCAAAGGTTGAACATTTTAGACAGAGAAGAGCAGAGAACTGAGGCCAACGAGACGTTTAGACAGAGAAGAGCAGAGAACTGAGACACTGAAATGATGACACAAAAATAAACCAAAATCTGAGTCATAAATAATTCAATTACATCTATCATTTCTACACTATTTTTCTATTTTCCAGGCTACAGCAGCCATTATGGTGATTAAATACACATTATGAAGAAACATTTCTTTTTAGAGTTTTAAATTTGGAAGTCCAATTTCAGTTTATTTTTCTCGAAAAAATCCCGAGTTACTGAGTTTATATTTTATTTAGTTTGTTTTTCCACAAAACTTTCACATCAAAAAAAGGATTGATTCTAAACTAGGGGACTAAAATTCTTAAAATGTTGTATCTATTATTAAATAATACATTCTGTTCGGGAACAGTAAAGGGACTGTTTTTCAAATTTAAAAAAAGTTCAAATGATGATTTTAACCATTCTCCTCTTGACTGTCAAAGTGAAACACATACGAACGATCACTCCACACAGGGGTAGTGCCCCCTGGTGCGAGTACAGAGGAAAGCACGCTTTAACTCACCCAGGACGAATGCTCCTTCATCTGATGCTGGCTGCTGTGTGAGCCGCTGGCGTTGCCGCGCCAGAAGCAGTTCTGGCAGAGCTGGTAACCACGGCAACGGAGGCAGCGGTAGCGGAAGCCTGTCATGCCGTTGCCGCGACAGTAGGAACAGGAGACGGGATGGTAGACTGAGATGGAGGACGGAGTCAGTCAGTGAGCGTCACAGCAAGGTGATGATCAAGATGATGATGATGATGATGATGATGTTTCTACAAAGATCTGTGTGTTTGTTTGTGTGTGTATACCATGCTCCACGTTGGCCATACGGTGCATCAGTGGCAACCAGACCAGACACTGCGGGGGTTCAGACACAATGTCCAGGAACATGTTGAGCGTCACCCTCTTCTACGAGTTGACAACAAAGAAAGAAAATTGCAACAATAAATTTCAAGCTCTTTGCTCCAACGTTTTGTAGATATTTTCAAAGGTCCAAAACTTTTCACTAAATGTAAAACAAAAAAAATCCTCACCTGCTGTGGAAAACATGAGCGCGCTAATGTGTGGGCGTAGCCAAAGGACGGTCCTTCATGCACGGCCGTTGGCACCTTCAGAGCCTCCCTGAGGAACCAGTCAAACTTGGTCTGGACCAACACACCGTGGCAGTCGGAGATCTGGGAGAACACATCTGTTCACACAGAAATAACACAAACAGAAATCACACACATGTACGATTATTTTATTGACTTGGTGTCACAGTCACGTCTTTGTTTTTGGTGAATGACCCCAGTGTGCAGTCAAACCTGTGTAATCTGTCTTTTACCCTAACATCATCATCATCATCATCGTCATTTCTATTTTTTATCAACCTTCTAACACTCACAAAAATCAGGCTTCGTGGTTCTGTGATGCACTAATGAGGAAATTCACCCCAGGATGTGGTGAAATGTGACGAAATGAGAACGCAGAACAAAGGAAGTAAAAGTACAAGGTGTGCAAATAATTCATGGTGTTCAGTTTTTGTTTTATATTTATAAGAAAAGATAGAAGCAAGATAAAACGATAACAGATTCAGTTTGTACAATACTCTGTATAATATTATATTTAATATCCATACATATTCTGTTCAATATCCTGGAAGATAAACAATATTTTGAAAAAAAAAATGATAAAAATAAAACAAAAATAAAAGCTTTCACATTTGTCTAACCTACAGATTATAGCCCCCTAGTGGCAGACAGGGCTGCTAACACTGCACCAATCAAGCCTTTCTAAAAAAAAAACAAAACACTGACATCAGGATGTGTGTATAAGAGTGTGTGTCAGTCACAACAGTATTTACTCACAGCGCAGTTTATCCACCAGTTTCCCTGCACACAGCATGGACAGCATGGCCTTCACAGACAACGCCGTCAGTTGACTCTCTGGTTCACTGGAAAACACGTAAAAAAAAAAAAACAGACCTGAGTTCATGCTCACCACTCTGAACTCAGCGTGGCCAGATTAAAACCCCCGCTTTTAGAATATTATTTTCTGAATCTCACTCTCACTTTAAAATGTCTATTGTCCTGTACTATCGGCTCATTTGTCTACAGGTCTGTGGAGAGTAGAGATCTTTCAGCAGAGTCCAGCTCTATCTGAAGGTCAGTCAGAGAGTGTATCAGCTCTGAGCCAGGAGATTATTCAGAATAATTTATGAGGGGGTTATCTGAAGTCTGCCGCCTTCAATTTAACCACTAATTAAATTCTCAGAGGTGCAGCCTCTGCCGTCCAGCAGCAGAACCAGCAGCAACAGCAACAGCAACAGCAACAGCAGCAGAAGCAGCAGCAGCAGCAGCTGTTCAGTGTGTATCTGATTAACCTGACGTTCAGGACAAGGCTGCCGCTTTTATTAACACATCAGACCGAGACCGAGCCAGAATTAATTGTGACACGGGGGATCAAGAGGTCAGAGTTGAGCAGGTGGAGATGTGTTTCTTTTTTTTCTTTTTTTTTATCCACACAGATCTGCGTGTGTCGTAGTCACCTGTCAACAGCTGCCAATATGAAGTCCACTAAGAGGACGGTGCTCTCCTGCGGGTTGATGATGTGCGTGGTGGGCAGGCGTTTGCTGAGCTGGTTGAACATGGAGGACACCAGGTTCTCCAGGCGGGTGACGGAGATGCCCACGTTCAGCTTGATGGCGTTCAGACCGGCGTCTCGCACCGCCTCGATCACGTTGTAGATGTCGATGAGATGCACTGGAGCCAGAGAACAGGAGTCAGTGGTTATCCTCTTCCTCTTCGTCGGAGGAAGAGTGTGTGTTTTAAAAAACGTCCTTTAAAATTGTCCTTTGACTTTAAACAGTGACATAAAGTCTTTACGATGCAACATTAATTAAATTGTGTTTTAACAGGGCTGACATGTCCTCAAGTGATTTGATCAGTGAAAAAAAAAAAAACACACAAGTGACCACGAATGGACGGCGACGGCTAAATGTCTTCAGTCCTACATGACGTTTTTGGGCTTTTTTTTCTCGTGTCAAACATAAATTTATATTGAAAAAAAATACTAAAGAATATACTGTAAATTTCCTTGGTTAATTGGTTAATAATTAACCCTTTGAAACCAGTAATTCCCAACACTAGTTTGCAAACAACAAACAATTATTTGTAGAAATATTAAATATTATAAAATAATATTAAAAATATTAGTAGACATCTTTTTGGGTCATCACATAAAAATTAAGTTTATTTTGCTTCTATATAATATATATATATTATAAATAGAGTTTCAAACTTTCATCCAGTAACTCCTGCAGCGTTACTCACAGTTGCATCTCTTCTGTATGAACCTGAGTTTGCAGGCCGTTCGATATGTTGAGAGACAAATGGCGTCAAAATTCTGCTCCCCTGCAAAAAAAAAAGAAAAAAAAGGACGACAACGTCTTCGTGAGTCATGTGTACACTGGTAAAACTTGGTAAAAAAAATTTTAAATAAAACAAATTCCTCTCTTGCTGTCTGGCACAGTTGGAAGGTGATGAAAGGTCCAGATTGGGGTCAAAAGGTCACTCACCGAGCTCCACAAAGATCTGCTTTCCCTCTGATCCTGCTGTCACTGGACCCCCCCTCCCTCGGTCTCTTTGACTGCGCTCCTCCATCACCATCCTGTAACAAAATCAGAAGAAAAGTTCCTGTTATAGATAAACTGTAGTTTCAAAAATAGTAAATTTAAAAAAACAATTTAAATGAAATATTTTAATTGCAGTGTATATACTATAAAGTATACGTTCAAGCGAGGGCGATTAGGGGACTGCAAATGACCCCGCCCCTTTCCACCATATTGCAAATGTATTCGTGTGTTGTTAATGAACATATATCATAAGACGCACATCATGTGACCTCTATGTAGGACTTATATATGAATCCATCCCCGGAGACAGGTACCTTCACTTACAGTACTACTTGTGTTGTACTTTGTCACGTGATTTTCTTCTCGGATCGACTCATGTGACAGGATGAGGCGTTCAGTGAAGGCAAGGTCGTCAGGATGAAAAGCCTCAGTGTTTTACTCATTTTTAGACTTTTTAATTTATTCATTTTTAACAGCTTTAAAACACAAGGCTGGTTTACATTACTAAGGTATACACAACAGTACTGTAGTACTGCGATCTGAAGGTGCACTCAAGTATTTACCTTAATTAATAAATTGTACTGGTTTTTACCGTGACGATGAGCTAAAGTGACCAGAGACTCAGACTGACCTCCGTCATGTGACCCATGTGTATAAACCACAGCCTGATAAGGAACACACACACAGCAGTGACTGTAACACTAACTTATTTTTACACACGGCTTTCACTGTGGACATGCCAACACGCCCAGTCCAAACACCATGTGACCAAGTGAGAGAGAGAGAGAGAGAGAGAGACAGTCAAACTCAAGGCCAGCAGGAGATGTGCTGAGCGCTTGGTAAATAAACACATTAATGAGCGCAGCTGATGAAATCTGATCTGAGATCTGCCATTTAGACAAGTGAGCAAGGACACAGGCAGGAGAGACAAGGGAGGGAGGCAAGGGAGGGGGTGAGGCGGGGGGGGGGGGGCTGTGAGTGAAAAGAACAAGCGAGCCGTCAGCACACCGCTGTCAGGTGACACGCAGAACACCGGAGGATTGTCATCGCCATGGTAACAGTTACATTACACCACAAAACTGAAAGACTCGCACACAAATATTTGCATTCCAAGTACAAATGTGGTGACAGGC